GACCTAGTAGCACTCTGGACAGTGAAACGCCTCCGTCATCGCAATCACGACAACAGCCACTACTACGAGCTCGAATACATCATATCGCCCATCACTCCCGCCATAAGCGAATTTGTCATGCGAAATGGACATTTCGATTATGGTATTCCAGGTCATATATTCATAGTGAGAAACAATAAAGCGACACACAACCAGCCAGAGCCAACTTTCATCAATAACAAACGTATTCCCCATCACCACCACTTTAAACCAGATGTAATCATTGGTATAAGCGCAGACGGAGAAAAGCACATCTTACACAGTTACCCAGGTTTCTACACATCGTTCCCGGTACATCCCACTTACCACCAGAACAGATACAGCACAAACGACCCCAGAGAAATCGAACTTTACAAGGAACTTATCGAATCTTTAGCGGCCAAAACCAGCAGTACACAAAAGGCAGAAACTGGTCCCCATAAGTTTTCTTTACCAACCACAGATGAGGTTCAGATGACTAAACCGAGCTATGACGTTTTCCCCGCTACCCAAAATTCGATGGTAGAACTATCGACAAAACCTCTAACGGGAAGTACAACAACAATGGCACAATTTCCACAAACGACTTATCAAAAGAAGATAGTCACTAAACCTCAAGTAACTCCTACCAAACCCACTGAACTAGATAGGCAAGAAATTTTCTCCGATGTCGATGTAGTGCACCCTAAAGTTACACAACCAATCACTACCATTCATTATTTCACGCCTATAGGCGAAGAGGATGTCATAACGGACGATCTAACCGAAATGAAGAAAATCACTTTGGGCACTTTTACTAGAAAACCTGGACAAAAATCGGAAGAATCTGGCTCTGATTTTCTTTTTCCAGACCTGGAAACCACGGCACCGCCTATAACCACCAAAAAGTATCATAAACCTGCAATGATAACTGAGAATGTATCAAATATTTTGGAAGAACCAACATCATCTTCAACTCAAACCACAAAACAGTACCAAACGACCGTCGCTAAACCTGAATTATCGACGATTACAACTAAAACTACTTTAAAACCTACAACCACTAGAACTACGGCAGATACAACAAACAAGAGGCCAAGCACAATTCAAGCCAGACCTTCTAAAATTACTACAATGAGGCCCACAGAAGCTGAAGTAACTAAAACTACAACAGAAACCACTAAAATGACATCAATTTCAACAACTGAAAGTTATATACCCAAAATTATGACAAATAAAGTTACAGCAAAAATAAAAACAACAAACACCACTACTCCGAAGACAAAAACTGAATTTCCTAGTATGGCAAATATTAGTGCTACGTTGAGAACAACTGATATTCCTAGAACTACTACAATTAAGATGACTACTCTCAAATTGCGGACAATGAAAACCAAGCTCAGCAACTTAACAGGTTTCATCGCTTCCACATCTGCTACAACTGGTGCAAAAATCACCACTTATAAACCAAAATTCACCAAATTCACTACAACAAAATTAACAACAACCAAACTCTCTATGCCTGAAACCACTACATTTAATACACAAGCACGGACTACTAAAGAAACAACTCAACAGCAGACGACACTGCCTATAACTTTGAGGACAACTCAACAACAGACGATACATCCTACAATTTTCTCAAAGACAACTCAACAACAGACGACACGTCCTATAACTTTCTCAAGGACAACTCAACAACACACGGCACTGCCTACAACTTTCACAAGGACAACTCAACAACAGACGACACATCCTGCAACGTTCACAAGGACAACTCAACAACAGACGACACTGCCTACAACTTTCACAAGGACAACTCAAGAACAGACGACACGTCCTGCAACGTTCACAAGGACAACTCAACAACAGACAACACTGCCTACAACTCTCACAAGGACAACTCAACAACACACGACACTGCCTACAACTATCACAAGGATAACTCAACAACAGACGACACTGCCTACAACTCTCACAAGGACAACTCAACAACAGACGACACTGCCTACAACTTTCACAAGAACAACACAACCACAGAGGCCGATAATAGATCTAGATTACACTTTATTGGAAGATATTTCACCAACTGAACCCATGGTGGGGACATCTTCAGAGCCAAAGGACACTCAAACAACATCATTTTTAAATAAAATGTATGTTCGAAGTACAGTAACTCCATATACAATAATTACCGCTTCTCAAACATCAAATGAACTTATCAGTGACACTACTATGACTACAAACACAGAAAGTGAAATACCTTTTACACCGATAAATACACCTAATACGATCTTAACAACAACGGAAGGATTTAGTACTTCTATGAAACCCAGACAGGCAAGCACAGTGACTGAAGAAAACAAAACTGACAGTGTTGCACCACAAGAAGAAACAGAAGCGACCATACAAAGCGTAACTAAAACTACTTTATCCGATAGCAGCAAAGTGTCAACTATTTTCAGTACCGACACTACTAGAACTGATAACCCTACAATTACTACCACTTATGAACCAGATACAATATCTATTACATTCAGTTTGCAGCCCACTGAACCTACAACAACTCCATCCACTAGTAGAACTACGGATAGAAAACTAAAACCATCCACGACAATGAATGACTTTTTAACAGAAAACGGAAATGAGAAACCCAGTTTCACGAGGCCTGCCAAGGTGGATTTCGACGAATATGACATATTCGGAAGTACCAAGGCACAAACAAAACCCACAAAAACGTCAACGATCAAGGAAATGACAGAATCGGACCTTGCCAGTGAACTATTCGGCAGCAGAGAGTCAAAAGCCTTGGAAACTGATAACACACTACCAAAGGGACTAAAAATTATATATTCCAACTTTTTCGAGGCTTCGACAACACCTGAACATACAACCCAAACAGAGAGTTACGAGACAATGACTAGTTTTAGGCCATTGACCAGCCAAAGCTACGCAACTTCGATCAGCTTTCAAGTAAAGAAAAAGGAAGAAACCAGTACAGAAATTGATAATACTGATACCACACCAAGTACTACTATAAGTGATGATAAAACTACCGAATCCATAACAACTACAACTAAAGCCGGTAAACTAGACACAAAAAGAAGTTTTGATCGTCTTGCTTTGCAGTTGGTCAATCATGCTAAAAGTATCGATTATTTAAGTAGGAAGAACAACAAAACGAACAGAGTGAAGTACAAGAGAAGGAAAACATATGTACCCAAAAATAGAAGGTTAAATAATAGGAAACAAATCTCGTGAAAGTCGAATATTATTTTGTAAATATACTGTACATATTACTGTTAGAATTAAAATATTTTTCTAGATACAAACTCATTGCTTTTACTTCCAAAAAAATTCTTCTTTACTCGTACAATCGGTATTTCCTTCGAGTCAAATATAAAACAAGTGAAACTAAAATAAATGTGTATTCGGCCATTTTCGTTTTCGCCAAGTCAATGTTGGCTATTTGTCTGCCTAGGACCCTATTGTCATATCACATCACGTGTATTATTATGTGGTTCACATAAACCAGGTAAGTGTAAACGTTCACTGACACTGAGATTCACAAACTAAACACAGTGCTCTAAAAAAATAGTAAAAATTCTTTTTGTTAAAACCTTGAAATTATTTTATAAATATTTCAAATAATATTCGCAAGTATTTTAATTTATTTTCTATTATGCACATTTTATAAAACAACAAAAATTAGTTTTACTATCAAATACAAATATTAATTTTTTAACAATACTTGAAATTTTTTTAATGTTTGGTGTATTGTTCGCATTGTCGAAAACAATATATTATGGTGTCTAAAATAACATGTCACAGTCATACAAAAGCAATCTTTTTTCAAAATTATTTTCTATTGTAATTTCACACTCTGATACTTCGTTAGTTTCAAACAGTTGGTTTAAAAATATAACAGGCACCACTGATATATGCAACCGAGTTAAGGTTAAGGTAAATTTCCTTTGATTGAATGTGTTTGAGACATCATCATAAATAAATCAAAGGACAATTTCAACTAATTCTTAATCTCATAAAATAATTTTATGTATTCTCTGCATGGAAATTGTAATGTACCATACATTTCGCACAGTGTTCCAACATGTTCAGCTAACATGCACATACTTGGAACATTCTATTATTACAATTATATTATGCCTATTTCTATGTTTGCTTACTGCATACAAAAAGATAGATGACTAAGGTCCACATAGTTCAACTTTTTTCAGATTTTAGTTGTTTTGTTTAGTATTAATGGCCAATCTGATAATCAGGCTAGATATAAACGACCAAATTTATCAAATCAAGAATATTATGACGAACAATACAGCAGGGAATTCGAGCATAAAACACAGATATGTCGGTGAGTGACGTCACGGAAATGTGTAATTCTTTGAAGTCTATGAGTTAAATGAGACCAAAAAAGTGAATCACATGGCAGGAAAAAAGTTTAAATTGACAGTGACGTTAAATAAATGATCCGCAGATAAATTCATGATTATATTTTAAAAATGAACATTGAGGAAAATTCAAAACTGCAATCACAGTAGACAAAAAATCCCAAAATGAATTTTCGTTATTTAAAACTAAATCGAAAAATATGCTAAAAAAAAGAACAAAATTCTAGTATGTCGAGGAGATTAATTAGAAAAATTAATAGAGTCTTGCATCGAAGACAAAAATTTTTTATCTTGCTTAACAAATGAAGGACACATTCTACAGTTTGACAAAATTTAAACAGCAGCATACAAAAAGCATTTTTTGAAAGATTTTTTATGAGATTAAAGGCACCTTTTCGGAATGCCAAAATGGCCATATTTATTTGTTATTCTACATTTAACAATTTTTGATAACCTCTAAAATGATACACCCATGGAATCCCATTCCCAATACAAGCCTTACCCTTCGCACAGATCTTTATGGGGAGAATGAGTAACTGCCTACTATTTTGTACCTAGAGTATAACCTACATGTAAAAAAAAGTGTAAACTTACCGGCCCCATCTTGCGCATATTTATAATCGGGTTCAGCTTTCTCGGGAATGAAACGGGCGAATCCTTCTGGCAATATTTCTCTAATGCGCTGATGATAAGAAAGTCTGGAAAAAAGAAACAACCCATTTTACTTAAACCCGCAACAGTACTAAATAATTAAGATAGTCTTATACATTTTTGATTTTCAATTTTTTTTACAATAAAGAAGTAGAAAACATTCCTCGAATGCCAGCTTGCATCTTTCTAGTGATAACTTAAATAGGTTTAAGTCCGTAGGAAACAAATAAATTAACGACTAACCGCTACTATTGGACATTATTGGCACTGCCAACTTAGCAACATAATAAGACATGACAGAAAGATGAGATTTAACAATGCATGCGCAACACACTCTCATGACTAGAAAATGCGGTAGTTTGAGATTATACTAATTTGTCCGATGGCGAAGCATGAAAATTACGAAAATAGAAGTTTAAAAAACAAATTTATGGTATGTTTTTCTCTATGCCTCTGTATAAATATGACACCCATTCAAAGTTAAACCCTGTATATTAAATAGAAGTTTTGTACGTACCTCATACTCTTCAACATCGTTTCCCTCACAAACTTAGGCTTCGGATGCTCCTCATCCAAAGACAAACAGGAATCCCAGTCCTCCCAGGACCACCGGAACTGGAAGTTGCTCAAGTGGTACGAGAACCAGTTCACGAATCTGTCGAAACACGATACGTTCATCGAATCGATCCTCATGAAAAGCATCTCTGTGGCCTGAGCCAGGACTTGAGGCATGGTCGAAGGTTGCAACTTGCAGAGTTCGATAAGCATAGCGCCGTAGGCTATTTCTAGATATCTAGGCGTCGGCATGTGTAGCAATTCAGCAAATATAACTTCTACGATGCAATATTCCAGCGGGATTTTCAATTTATAAGGGAAGTTGAGTAAATGAGCAGCACAATCCTTTCGTTCTAAGTGATACATTTCTATTATAGAGTGTAGATGCTCCTCTATTAAGAAACGTTCGATGGAGTGAGCGCCGGGAAGAATCGGACCTTCGGGGCAGTCTGTATAGTCAAACAACCTGAAGGAAGACTGACTGTTAGAATAATTCACGTTTATTTCCGATCCATCATAATTGCTTTTAACTATATTATAACTGAATAAAGATTGTTATATTAATTAAATGTTTTACAATTATGGAAATGCACCAAGCACTACACTATTAACTCAACTGCCTGACCAAATTATAACCACTTTTAAATTACTGAGATAATGCAATCGTATACCACAAAAGATTATTGAAAATCGCAATTTGCAATATAAATATTCTTGTAATACTTGCCGAAATTGTTAAATTAACCTGACTTATGTTATTTCCAATTAAAGGCCACTAGTAATGATAACAGTAGGTGATGATGCATCACATGATGGATCACTTTTTCAGTTTCACTTAATAGTAACATGACTTACCTGAAAACTACCCATGGCATGGGATACTGATAACTATCATGATGTGGAGGTGGTAGAATCGAAGGCAAGTTATGCTGCAATGCCTCACACAAAATAGAATCAAAAGCCAAGTACGGTCTCGGAATATGTTTTTCAGCCCAGTTGTCTTGACGTAACTTCCTCACTTGCGACCATAAACAATCCAAATACTCTTCTTGGGGATGAGGAGTATCTATCGCCCACACCCTTAAAGCATTATGGTGTTTTTTTGTCCTTTTATTTAAAAATACTTCAATCTGAACAAGAAGATGCTCCAAAGCCTTCTCTTTCTTTTCATACAGTTCTCTGCCTACCCATGGTAAGGTACTGAGAATTGCGAACACATACCAATCTCTGCGGACTTGAGGAACATTGTCCTCATTAGCTGTATCTATCATGTTATCTAACAATTGTAATAAAGAAGTTGCTGAAATTACATGGCAATTCACTAAATCTGCCAGGAATCTCAATGCATATCTCGCTGCGTCCCATTTGCAGTTCTTTAAAGATTCTTTAAACGTTTTTACCATATATTCTACAAAATCACCTCCGAAATTAAAATTTTTTGCATTGAGTAAACCCACCAAAGTTGTGTAAATCGTACATTTTTCTGGCATCCGAATTGCACAGTCGGTCAGAATTCTTAATATCTTAGCTCTGAAGGTAGAAAGATCTGCTTCTAGAACACTTGCTAGACCCTCTAAATTACTTTCAAGAGAAGAAGTACTTTTTTCTCCAACCCTCAGAATAAGTGATTCCAATCTATCTTCAATTTCTTGATTTTCTGATACCCTACGCCTCTTACGATAAGCCCTATCTAAAAGTAAGAAGCAGAATTTGTAAACCTGTAAATCTAGGTGCCTCTGGAAATTGTATTTCTGTGAACTTACCGTAGCCATCTTCTTCCTCATGGGGCCTTCGCCTACTCATTTTATGTATTTTCAGACGAACTACTAGGTTTTGTTATATAAAAAAGTAAAAATACTAATATAATTATTTAATTTGAGATTAACTACGGGTTATGTTGTGTGCCATTTTACTTTTACACACATTTCACACAGGGCCAGCTAGTGTCTACATGTCAAATTAAGGAACACAAAACCACTGAACAAAGACCGTACCATAGAAAAAAACCAAATCAATTTTATATTATTTCTTTATGAACCTGAAACTAGATACAATAGCTGTTTTCCTTTTACAAATATTTTACTTGGTTCAGTTTTATTAGATAATCTTAGCTCGACTAATTTGACAAACTAATTCGTGATTCAGTCAAAAGTTATCATATTTATCATGGAGACTACCCGAAACTATACAACCGGCCCTTGCTTGTAGTTACTAGTTATATACTTTGTGATCTTATTAGTTGTTATATAGTAGTTTAAATCTCTTCATTCACTCATACTACACGTAACTACAACTTACAATACGACTTTACTCGCGAAAAAAAAAAATCATAATTTTATAAATTCTATATTGCAATGGTAAGGTAAATATAAAGATTTATTAATATTCAATAGTTTACTAAGTATGTACCCACGGTCCGTAAAGGTCCGTCTTTTTTACGGACCGTAAGCAGCCTGGGATGCGCTTTGCTAAGGTGGCCCTTAGGTTTACATGGAGTTCGGGCTCCTTGTGTAGTCTCGATTGATACGTGCAAGATGTTGAATGTTGACTATGCTGAAAATTGCGCCTCAAGTAAACACTGAACACTCGTCTCTTGCTCACTCCTGCTCTTTCGAGTTGTGGCTGTGCCTAATGTGCACAACTGGTAGGAGATATTTAACTATGCTGTGGTTTGACTGTCTGCGTCTGCACTCTGCAGAGATATGGAGTACTCCATATCTATGACACTCTGCGATCAGTGAAATCTACCCTGTACTTAATCTATAAGGGTTTTTTGGCGAGAAAACCGCTAGCCCGGTTAACTATAGTTTGTTCCGGTTTGACGTTTTGGCGAGAAATGTAGTTAACCCGGTTTGGCAGAGTTTGCCTAACCATCAAACCGGACTTGTGGGTTGGTTTGGATCTTAAGTTAATATTTCTATCTTTGTTTATTTATGTTCTGTTTCGTACCATCGTACCTAGTCACTACTTCATTTTTTTAGAGGTTTAAATAAGTTGTAAATAAAATAATTTGGTAATGGATCATTTTGCAAAAAATACAAAGTAATATTTAAAATTGATAATAAAAAAATAGTAATCGAGGATCCAAATAACTAATCGTAGATATGCATTTTCTATATTGTACTGTATAGATCTTTATTAACTTCCTTTTAGACAATACATTTGCGTTGGAATAGATAATATTTGTGAACAAGGTACCCATTTTGATTTAATAACCATCTATACATTAACGTTATTTCATGGATGTGCATTTCAGATTAGGAATAACAACTATAGTATATAAGAAATAATCAAACAACTTGAGCTACGAGCACTATCATAGATTATAGGTTACGATTTTATTATTGATTAGATCCAAACCAAAAGAATTTTTGCGAGTTCTGTCAAATGTTAACTCAAACTCTTAACACAATCAAACTCGAGCTAACCGGGTTTGATGTGGTTTGGCTCGCCAAAAAACCCTTTATGGATCTGCCTCTCCCAGTCCCGAGGATGCATATGGAATGGGAGTGGAAGTCTACGTTAATTGAAATATTCTGATGTTTCAATCAACGCTACCTATTAATGAAACCCTGGAAGCATGCGTTCGAGGACCGAATCGTGTGGCTACAACCGACTCGTCTGATACGTGTATGAACATAAAATAAGTATTTCCACAATTTTTATTATTTGAAGGAGTTCAAAAATCATGTTTTAATTTTATTGTATAAAAAAAATTTATTTTGTAATTAGGAATATCTTTAGCTAGTCCATATAAAGGAAAAACAAATAATCTTTTATGGTAATTCAAAGATTAATATTTACACATTATATACATATCTACTTTCAGATATCGTCTAAAGCCTGTGACTTGAAGACAGCGGTACAACTAGGGCAATTTATAATACATTAAATTACTCATTATGTATTTATATTTAGATACCACATATTAAGTAATTATCTATGTAGTAGATGCATGTGATAGAAATCTGATGAAAGTGCGCTAATACTGCTGATTGTAAAACCTATAAACTCTGGAAGTGGGCATGTTTAAAAACAAGTTCTTTACAAAACAGTGCTCATCAAATTAAAAATTAAAATTTGAATCTATATATAAGTATACTTTTAACATAAAATTTCAATTTTTAAATCAATGACTGAAACCATTGTAATACAAATGAAAATGTTTATTATTTTAATTAAAAATATTTATTTAAAATATCAGATCATAAAAAAAGTATAAATAAGAATATAACCTAAAATTAAAAAAGTTATCATTCAGTAAATGTATCATCTTCTTCGGACATATCTAAAGTTAAATCAATAATGCTCGATTTAATTTCTTCTTTTTTAACCTTAGTCTCTACAAAACATTTACTTTTAATTATTTTACAGTTTTTTCTCCTCTGGTTTCCTTCCGATTTTCTTTTCTTATATACTTTAAACCGTAAATCATATTGTGTTTTTATGTGTTTGATATCAAATTTATTTATATTCCACTCCATCGCTCTAATCAGTGCATGATTCTTTGTGGGGTCAATGTCTGGCGAATAATCTGGAATTTCTATACTTAATTTCTTCATAACTTTTAATATGACATCATCAGCAAAGAAATTTATTATTAAATCTGCCTTCTTATCCTAAAAATGTAGCAACTTATTAGAAACGTATTAGAAAAAATAAAACTTGATTTTTAACGTACATGCTTGGTGGGTTGTAAATTAACTATAACAAGTTTTCCTCCAAACTTTTTGTTTCGTAATGGCAAATTTCCACTTGGGACTATTTGAAGCGTGGTACCTAAACAAATATTAAGATCGGCCACGCTAGGAAGCCACACGTTCTATTAAAATCATTTGTACAAGGTTTTTAATGCTTACCTAGAGTGATAATCGGACATTTCAAGATCGTGTTCGGGTAAGCTATGTTCCCAATCCAAAATGGTGTCATGAAGTTTTCCCCTGCACCCTCTACCCCTTGTTATAGATCTTTTGCAATCCTCATTGAGGCATTTCTTTCCTACAGTGGTCGTAGCTGATGATCTGATAAACTGACTGCAATTATTTACAATTTAGTAACTATAACGATTATAAATTTGCTTTACATACCTTTCACAAGTATTACATTGTTCTGTGAACATATTTCCATGTAATTCTGCTATATGAGACCTTGAGACACCTGTTTTTAAATGCAAACCATCGATATTTTGGCTAATAATATAGTGGACATATCCCTTATCTATTAAATGCTTTAATGCCATGTGCGTCTTTGTTGGAAGAGCATCATTAAATGAAATATTTATATTCGGTTTTTTACCTTGTTTCTCCAAGGTCCATACGCCGTTTGGTCCCCTGCAGGGAAATGATTATGAACTCAGTAAATGCAGAAAAATTATGACCTTTACCTAAAATCAGGTATACCTGCTGCTGTGCTGATACCAGCTCCTGTGTGCACAACTACATGTTTAGAATTTTCTATCCATTCTGCCAACATGCTACATTTTTCGTCAAGTTTTTCCTCATGTTCAAACTTCTGCAACGATAACAAATATTTACAAGCCTTAAATCTTACAAAGCACTAGGACATATTAATTACCTCAGGTAAGCCTAAAACTCCTTTATTGTCATAAGGAGACAAACCGTCCGCATAACTGCATGACATTTCAGATAAGGAATTAATTTGTTACTAAATAAATAATTTTTATTAATTTCGTCTATTCATCTTCATATTAATTACTACAAGTACAAATAAATCACAAACACAAACATGAAAAAAGTTTATAACCTCAAACTCATTATTGACAATTTGACGCAATTTGACAATTGAAATACGGATCCCATCATAGATAGTGAAAACATAAAAGTTTAGTCCATTTTATATTCGATTACAGCGACATCTAACGGCTTCTTCAAAAGTTCGTCAATATAAACTGTGATCGTATTAATCTGATTTTTAGGATCAGTTACCGTGCCGTGCCGTTCGTAAAGCAAAGTTAAACATCGTTCGTACAGGATTCGAGTTGTTCAGATTTTAATCATTTCTTCTGATCCTTTCTAGCTGACACATAAATGGATCAGCCGTTTTATTTAATTTTAAAATTTATAGGTTTATTGGTTTGTTCAGTATCACCATGATCAACATGAACACAGCAGTAAACTTGTCCGTTTTATTAAAATTTTAATTTACAAGATCTCAAATATATAGATCTCGAGGAGAAAAAGAGATGGCTCTGGCAGTCGAATCTGACATTATAATAATTTATACAGAGAAGCCGTCTTATTATTTATTTTCTCTATGACTTGTTCAACTGAAAGTGACATTCATGACAATTGACAGCTGTCGATAAATAATCGCAGGAGCTGTTGTCAGTTAACAAGTAAATAAATAGTCGCTTTTTATAAAATGTGAAATATAGCGTGAATAATTTAATTTTAGTATACTTTCACATTCCTTCGGTCTAACAAATGTGATAATTTGAATTCGAAAATGGATATTTTTGCTATATTCTTTTTGGGATGTATTTCAGTATTATTTGGAATAATTTTAACTTTATCTGTTCAGTATTATATTTTGTATATTTATTTAAAGAAGAGTCCTGTTGCTAAACCTTCCTTGAGAAGAAATTCTGTAGATTACAGCTTGCCAGAGGTACGTTAAAAATATTTATGCTGAACAAATATTAATGCATAGTTGCAGGCACTTAGGAAACAGTTAGAAAATGAAGACTTTAGTGATGGGGGCAAAGGTTGCAGTTTACCTATTAGTTTAGTATTACAATTTTTATTTCATGAATTAAGACACTCGGAATCTATAAAACGTTGGCTCTTCAAGAAGTTGAGCTTAGAATTTGACGAACTATTAACCAAGACTACGATTGGAAAATTCTTCGATTCTATTAATGTAAGGGATTTACGATATTGAATATATACCGCTGATAATATTTTTCGTTCAATTTGTAGATTAAAGATATGCACTTGGGGACAGAATTCCCCAATATTAAGGATATAAGTATAGACAGTGTAAAATTAGACAAAAAAGAGGGGCACATAGATACTATTAGTTTATGTTTGAATCTGGACTATACGGGAAATTTTCTGTTAAGTGTAGATGCTAGAATGAAATTTGGGAAAGCCGCCTATCTTTCAATAAAAGGTAGGTAAAATATATATATATATACTTTCTCCTCAGATAATATCAAGTTGCTCATTGTTTATTTATATAGCAAATTAAATTATAGTTAAATACAAGGTTCAGGCCGCATTGTGTGTGTTTATTTATTTATTTTTTTGTTTTAGTGAAGCGAATAAGTGGACAAGCAAGACTACAGTTTTCAAGACACCCATACACCCACTGGTCTTTTAGTTTCTTTTCCGATCCAATATTAGATCTAGCAGTAGAATCTCATTTTCAAGGGAGGCAGCTCCAATCCAACATAACCAATCTCATCGTCAATCAAATAAAAAAGGCCATTAAGAGGAAACATACATTACCAAATTATAAAATAAGGTTTGTCTAAAAACATTTTTTTTCTTACTTATCGCACTTTCAGTGTTTCTCAAACCTACTATTCATGAAATTTTTACAATTCTTCTTCAAATTAAAATTTATCTTGCTAACCGCATGTCGCAAATCATTCAAAAATCATCAAAATTCGCCAATAATTTAGAAAAAGATATGTTGTATCTAATTTCTTGACAGACTGATCGAGTTTATATTCTAATGCCAAATAGTATGCAATAAAATCATAAATGTATGTAATGTGTTTCAATAATATGTTCAACATGAGCATACACTTGTTACAAACGCATATTCTTTGCTTATCATGTACAAAAAGAGTGACGATTGAGGTTGCATTGTTTAGCTTCTTAAAATTTCACCCTGTCTAAGTTTCGAACCTGAGGTGTGTCAGTGTGTGTCATAAGCATACAAATGGGAAAGATGCATGTCGAATTTGATAGATTAAGAATGCTGTGATATAAAATGTGTATAAGATTAATTCAAGTACGAATGACGGACATACTGGTGAGAGATGCCATGGAAATGTGCAGTTCTTTAACAAAAGTGTCTGTTGGTTGTTAATTTCTTAAACTTTAATTCAAAATTATTGTGTTGTGTTCACTAAGTGTTTTGTTAGGTTCAGATGTAAAATTTCAGTTTACAGACTTTTCGGATTCATCATGTCTCCATAAAGCAAGTTTATAAATTTAACAAAACTTAATACAGTCAATAATTTTGTATAAAATATACCTCTTCGTGTTTTTGAATCTTTATCAAATAAGCTGAATCAACTTATTTGACTTATTCAGTCTTTCACTGATTTCTGAGGGCCTTGAGATTACTACTGTTTAGTATAGATTGAGTTGGGCATTGGTTGAACAATCAAACTATTAAAATTATAATAAAAATAATAATATATTCATTACACTGAATTTTTGATAAAAATATCAATTTAGTTGTCTATCTCTGTTATATTTCTGTTGCCTTTTCGGTGGTCTGCAGCTCCACAACACTTATGGAGACGCCACCCCTGAGGTATTACCAAAAAAATTAATGGGCTTCTGATTTTTAGGTATAAACCATTTTTTGTCAAAACAGACCCAAGCCAGTTAGACACAGAAGATAACGAAATTGTCCCTCAGGGTCAACTGGAAGTAACATGTGTCGAAATATCTCGCTTATCCCTTCCACCAAGTGTTCAAAGTGTTTACTGTACGATGGCGTTAGGTAAGAAGTTGCTGCTAATAAAATGGCGGAAACTTAGATCCATTTTTTCTTACAGACACTATTCCTTGGATCTCAATATACCAAAAAGAAGACAATATGTACATGATCATAGAAATAACCATGACCAAACTAAGGCAAGCCCAGTTAGGCGTAATATTCAGACAAGAACAAGGCATGGTCTTAGTAGACAGCGTCTCTCCCCATAGCACAGCATTCCGCGCCGGCCTTAGACCAAACGACATCGTAGTCGCAGTTGAAAATCGCTGTGTCCAGACCGTGCCACAGGTTGCGAAGTTTATTAAATCCATTTCCGCAGCGAATATAACTTTGAAGGTTGAACGTTTAGTGGAAAATTACGTTCTACGTCAAAAACATTACGAGGAAAGCGAATCTAAAATCGTTAGCACGACGCCAGAGGTTCCCGAGGAGCCAGAATTGACCCAAACAGAACAAGACAGTTTCGTTTTAGTCGACACCGTAAAAGATACGAGGAAGCGTGTGCCGAAGATCATACCAACAAATGAGAATATGTCAAAGTTTGCGCAAACTATCGGCAACTTTAGTTTGAGGAAGAGGAAGACCTCGGTATCGGAAACGGCCAGCGCAAAAAACACTCCCACTTCCAGTAGCCCCGGAACGCCCCAACATGTGAGTTCCGTTAAACCACATACGATTCAAGCCAACGTTTTATCCAAAAAGAACTCGATTTGTGAGTTACCGGAAATCGTTAGGACGGATCTGGATAGTACAAATACCGAAATTTTGACCTGCATCGAAATATTTAAAAGCAAAGAGCTAACGTTTTCGACAGTGCTGCAATTTAACGATGACTTTCAGTTCACACTGAAGGACGGTTTAAAATACCTAAACGTAAATGTATGGGCTACATTAACCGACGAGAAAGATTTATTATTAGGTTACACGAATATCCCGATAAGTCACATCTTGAGCGAGTGTTGCAACAGTTTTCTGGGGCACTACTTGCGCTGTTATTCCTTTTTACCGCCAAATAATATCGTTCCTAACAATCAGACACATCCTCTGCTGTCACATTCTGGTTTTGAACATGTTTTTTGTTACGGCGATATTCTACTGTCTTTCATATGGACGCATGAAGAGGATATAGAACTCAAAAGGAAAATGTCTCCCGTTAGTTCAGAGGTAGATGTGAAAAAGGTGAATACGGAGGGTTCACTGCAGCACGATTTCATTAGAACGCAGTTTCATAGGACCACGCATTGCGATTTTTGTTCGAAAAAGGTAAATTATTGATAGAATTTTTAAATAAAACATACAAAGCATAACATTAAATGAGATTCATAGAGAGTACTTTTGACTTTTAGAAAACCATATAAGTTTGTTTTCTCAAAATCTGTCTCTTATATTTTTGCATACTATATAAATCTACCTGGAGAATGTTGAAATATCTGAATTTTTTTGTTCCATTTCAGATTTGGTTGAAAGACGCTGTGCAGTGTAGACAGTGCGGCTTATGTTGCCACAAGAAGTGCATAGTGAAATGTCAAATGAGTACCGGATGCAATCCCAATGAAAGAACTTTAAAAAGCGAGGTTTCTGTATCGGACGTGTTGCTCCAGCCCGAAATTACCATGACAGAAGTCGGCGAAGAGGTGACGGGTGAGAATAATTGTGGGAATAACCTGAAAAGGGTGAATAGTGTCAACAATTTAGCCATACCAGGTAATGTAAATGTTTCCGTTTTTCGTTTGTGTCATGTTTCTTAGATACGTCATCACAGCATATTTAAATGAATGAAAATTATTAGAAATGTATAACCATTAGAATTTGGCAGACCGTGTACGATTGATCGACGATCAGACTTCAGCATATAGCACACAGCTTCGGTGTTTTCATTCGTTTGGTTTGGGTGGGGACGCTCCATCCTTTCATCATCGTGCACGCTGTCTCGTGAAACCTCCCGAACCACAGGAACACAGTCGGATATGGTACACACCAGCGTTGCCAGATTTTTTTTTGGGCAAAGCGGGATTTTGAAACCTCTTGGGTAAAACAGTAGAATTCTTTGGTCGAAAACGGGATATACAAAAAAAAACGTATATAATAAATAGTTTTTAACTACTAATCATTTTTACTTGAGTTTCAAATTAAATTTACGTGACAATAGTTAGCCAAAATTACCATAGAAAATATATTAATGAAAATACGTTACTTTACTGTACTACTCGTCGCACCATCGAGTAATCACCGAAAAGCAGGACAGCCTATCCTGCGCGGAACGTTTTATTTTGGGCTAAAAATTGGGACGTCTGGCAACGCTGGTACATATTCCTCACCTTACGCCGTTTGTAACAGTTGATATGTTTCCATAGCTGTTTTACAGGCTTTAAAACAGAACTTGATTGCTGTACGTTGTTCAATGTGCGTTTCCGTAATAACTATCAAAAACTACTAAATCACTATTTTTTGTAATGATAGCTTAGAAAGATGTTTTATGTTAATGTTTAACGTTAAGTATTTTAATATGCGTGGTGATAATATTATGAACATACAGCTAGTAAGTAAACTCTGTACTAAAATGAAGAAACATTTTTAAGAACAATTTTTGATATAAATCCCCATTACAGATATTTCACTACGAATTTTTTGAAACTATTCAAATGATATGAAACTTTAAAAGGAGTGAAGTCAACCCTCTTTGTAAGTCACTAAGTGTGATGAGAGAATTGGTCTCGAAGGTTATTTTCAGAGCGCTCTGAAGGTCACTGTTTTAAATTAACTAGTTCATTTTTATGGCATTGTAAGTGACTTTTTTGGCTTTCAAATAGTACTTGGTCTGTCTCAATTGGATTTATTCATTCGAAAGTTATGAGCGAAAAGATCTTTCCACATATTCGTTACATCTCAATTTGTCAGATAACACTCGTCCGCACGAATGATTTAAAAAAAAAATTGTGTAAAATAAGCCCTTGTTTCAGGGGGGCAATTTACAGGAAGTACTTCTAGAAGTCTGCCGCCTTCTCCCCAAAGAACTCCTAGCCGGAAGCTGTCCATAGTTTCGATAAATCCATTCGGTATGTGCCCCGGGGTTTTAGACGACGTGCAAAAAAATCCTAGCGAAGCGTCAGACAACGTTAATAAACTGTTGGAACAAATTATGCAGTGTGCCCCGGACGAGGCACTAATGGATGCGGCGAAAGAAACGGGCAGACAGTTGTACGTTAGCATGCCTCATGAGGAACGGGTAGAAAAGATAAATTTGATGGTAAGTCTTAAAAACTGTATCAGTTAAGTTTACATACAGGGAGCCCACATAGGATCTTTCAAAATTTAAAATATATGTTTTTTAAATATCCAACGTATATATTCATTTTTTAATAACCAGACGTTTTGTATATTATAAATTTATAAAAATATTTAAAAAATTGGAAAACCTCACAACCAATAATTTTGACATTGCATTTAGCAATTTGCTTGCAATTTTTCTGTTTGTAAAAATGACAAAAACCATGAAAAATTTATTATGAATTTACATCAAAATAAACAAAAAACTCTTATATGACATTGGCCCAACCGTTTTCGCAAGAAAAAATATCAAAATCTTCAAGTTGATGTTTTAATTGTAAGTGTTGCGAAAAACAACTACTCCGAGAGCTATATGCCCCTACTGGCATTGAATTATACTCGCAACACCTAGTGCAACAGCTAAGATTGTTCGTCAGTTTTAACCCACCAGGCACAGACCGGTTTCGGACTTATTAGTCCTCATTAGTGTGTCATAGGTGAGACAACCGCCGAACGATTCAGCTGTTTTGCGACAAATCGTCACGACAAGGAAATACATTGAATGCGGAAGTGCAAATGGCTCCATCTGTCGTGCTGACTCCCAACTGTGCCATTCAAATGGCTACAGTAGGAAGCGACCTGCTATATTGCAGGCACTTGTTGCACGACTGCCACCCACAGAGGGCGAAGACAATGTTTTAATTGTCATTATATGCCCCTACCGGCATTGAATTATACTCGCAACACCTAGTGCAACAGCTAGGATCGTTCGTCAGTTTAACCCACTAGGCACAGACCGGTTTCAGACTTATTAGTCCTCATCAGTGTGTCGTAGGTGAGACAACTGACGAACGATCCAGCTGTTTTGCATCGTATCATCACGACAAGGAAAAAGGGGGAGTCAGCAGGACAGATGGAGCCATTTGCGCTCCCGCGTACAGTCTTCAAGTTCATATTTAGTTAATTAAAATGGCGGCATACCTTAGGATAAGGGACGCCGGCGGTTGGAGAGCTAAATGACGCACTGAGGGCCATGCTGCCGTGGCCCTCAGGGCGGAGAGGGAGATCCCAATATCCGCCATGAGGGTTACGGAAGCAGAGGACCGGCTTAGGTTAGGAAGGAAGTATGTCACCACTTTCCCCTCTAGAGAGCAGTGGAAGCAGGATGGTGATATGTTCTCCCCGGGATCCCTAGTGTGCTATACTGATGGATCTCGGGTAGAAGACGAGTTTTCAGGAGCAGGAATTTATCTGGAAGGCAGCGGCATCCAGGAAAGCTTTTCACTGGGTATGTATGCTACAGTCTTCCAGGCTGAGGTTTTTGCTATTTTGATGGTAGCAAGCAAGGAGGAGGTAAGGAATTGTGCAGAGGAGAAGATTTTTATCTGCTCCGACAGTCAGGCCGCGCTCAGAGTGGTTAGCTCCCCGAGGACTAGGTCTGCCCTTGTCCAAGAATGTGGAGACGCTCTAGAGTCTTTGGCCAGACGAAAAGAAGTAGAGTTGGTTTGGGTCCCAGGCCATAGGGGCATCCCTGGTAACGAGAGGGCGGATCAATTAGCTCGTCTTGGGTCCAGGGGACCTGGACAGGGACCTGAACCAATCTTAGGTATCACACGAGGCAGCATTAATGGGGCCCTCAATAAGTGGGCCTATCAAACTTTAGGTCTGGATTGGAGGAGAAATAGAGGATGTAGGCAGGCCCATAGTTTTATACATGGACCTAGCAAATCCAAGACGAGATGGCTGCTGAGCCTTAGTCGAAGAGCCCTAAACCAAATGGTGGGGGTTCTGACAGGCCACTGCAGACTTAGGAGGCATTTAAGCTTAATAGGAATTGAGGAGGACCCTCTATGCCCGAAATGTGGCGAAGGGGAGGACACCCCTGTCCACCTTCTGGGACAGTGTGCAGCCTTTGGGAGAATAAGACATAAAGTCTTTGGTGCTGAAGAGCTGCAAGGGGTTGAGGTGAGAGACCTTCCATGGACCAAAATCCTGGCGTTCATTAGGGCGTCGGGTAGGTTCGAGGAGGGTCAGAGGCAGAGAGTGGTCAGGTGATGGGACGGCGGGGTAGGCAAAAGGGCCCACTTGTGGCCTAATTGCCAGGCTGAGGCCGCCCCTTTACTACTACTACTACTACTACTAGTTAATTAAAGTACCTCGACATATTTGTGTGCACAAACCATAAAATGCAACATTTACCACTTCTTTGAATTTGTTTGTGTTTAGTTTCAATAAACTAACTAATTTTGTTAATCAATAAAATTACATATAATTGATCTAGTGCAGCGGTCTTGAAACTTTTACGACTTGCGGAACCCCGCCAACACTTCAATTTTTTTGAGGAACCCCCACACCTAAAAAAAATTTTCGAACACATTTTTTACTTATAAATACTACGATTAACAAAATAAATATTCCATTAAGTAAAAATTAAAGACTTTAAACTCTAAAGTAAATATTTATTGCGTAATTAAAAAAAGAATTCTTAAATATAATCAGAGACTGGGATGTGCTTGATTATTTTTATTTACATAATATGTTAAAATCAGGTGCTATTGTCGTAAGTTGCAATCGCATTTCAAATTCTGCATTAAGCGCATTGCGATACTTTGTTTTTGTCGCTACATATGTGGAAAATAATTTTTCGCACAGGTACGTGGTACGTGGCAAAAGGCATTAATACATTTATTGCCGGGTCAGCAATTTCAGGATATTCCTTATAAATCTCTAGCCAAAAATCGAGGGAAAGGCGACAACCAATGCGAAGAACGCTGCGCCAGCTTGTAAATTATTATAAGCCGACGTACTTGCACTTGCATAAATAGATAAAACTCTTATAGTAACTTATATGCATGTACTTATAAAAAGTTTTAAGAGTATAAATTTTTTTGAATTTTGTAATTATAATAAAATTTGAAATTTTTGACTGAGTCGCGGAACTCCCAGAGGGGTTGTGCGGAACCCCAGGCTTCCACAGAACACAGTTTGAATACCATTGATCTAGTGCAATATGGCAGCAGTAGGACAGTGGTACGCTGCTAGCCAAATGATCTGTTGGTGTTTGAGAGTTTTTTATTACTTATTTAGTTTTATTTACTGTTAGTAACATATGTCTGTCCATATACCAATATTAGTTAATATTTAATAAATGATGCAAAAAAAATAAAAAAAAATTTAAAAACACTTGAAAATTTATTTAATATTTGTCTCTTCGTTGGCATTAACGTACAAAAAGTTAGGGGACTTTAAAGTAACACGTAAAAAACTGACTCCTCTTAAAGTTAAACCTTGTATTTTTGTGAAACCATTTCTCAAATTACTGGTTGTGATACCAAATTTAATTTTGTCAGTTTTTCCATGATAAAAGTTTAAAAAAGAGTTGGTTATATTGTTCTTCTATCTAATTTGTCCCTTTCTATACAATCTAGGTATTAAGTTCTGAGATTGATTTTATTGTGGCGAACTGCGTGGCGCTATTTATGTGTGGTCAATGGAACTACATTGTGGAAAACCTTCCGAATGACAACAATTTCATCAGTATACATATTTCTACCAGGATGAGAGGTTGGGGTGTCCCTCAACAAGCCGAACGAACAAAAACATTGAACTATTAGAGTGTTGGCAGATCGTGTACGATTGATCGACGATCAGACTTCAGAGCATGGCACACAGCTTCAATGTTTTCATTCATTCAGTTTGTGCAGAGACTCTCCGTCCTCTCGTCGTCAATCAAGCTGTCTCGGCTATCACGAAATCTTCCAAACCACAGGAACACAGTCGCACGTGATACACACTCCTCACCATATGCCGTTTGTAACAGTGATACGTTTTCATAGCTGTTTCACCGGCTTTAATATAGAACAGTCGCACATCTATCAAAAACTTGCTACATGCAAAACGTTATAACTTCCTGGCAGATCCACTTTGAAATTTTGTTCGGTTGCTCGGAAGGCATCCCACTATGTAGTTCCGTTAACCGCACCTGTAGATAGGGTCACGCACTTCGCCACAATAAAATCATTGTAAAACTTAATAGCTGGACTGTATAAAGTGGATCCATATTTAATGATGTATTCCTCCAAAATGGTTTTAGATGGGAGAACTAAAGAAAACGTTGGATTCCGTCACCATGGAACACATGGAGTTGTCCAAACAAATGGGGGTGGAGGAATCCGAAGTCGAAAAGGCTAAATTAGCTTTTCTGATGGGCCAAGCCGATGCGAAGGTCCACGGATTGTCGGTTTTGATGCTTCACTACTGCTCTAGCCTGCAGCACACCCAGGAGAAGATTGTCTAGGATCTCGTAGTGATAGTTTGCAGTTGTTATTTTAAAATATTGTTGAATTTTCATATTTTTATGATAGACAGTGTTTTATATTTATATACACTTATTTTTTATTTTTAAAAAGTGACGTGATGCATGCCATTCAAAATATTTCACTGCAAATTGAATTAGCTTCGACAATTTTTTATGTGGTTCTACTGTTTCTACAATTTTAAGAGAATTTAAAATTGGTAGGAGATTTTTCATAGTTGCTGAGGTACAAGTACATATTTTTATTATTTCAAAGGTCTTTTCTCGAATTTATTTCTTTAAGTGTCTTAATGTATGGAGCGTTTTAAAAAAAGATATAAATTCAGCAGCTAGGACAAACAATTTTTTTTTAATTTTGTCCATATCCCGAAAAAAAGCAATATTTTGTATTGAAATTTGGTATAAGTAGTTTTTTCAGAATAATGTAGGAAAGATTTATACTATAAAATGTCACTGGAAAAAGTCGTAGTTAGCGGCCTGTATAGAACAGTCGATAACTAATAATACTGCCATATTTTGGTCGGTGGCCAAACGGTACGAGGTGTCAGTACTTGAATCGGTGAATGCTACTGTCGCGAGTTCGATCCCCGCAACTGTAAGACTATAGAACAGCTTTATTCGTAGAGAGGAAATAGGCACTCTCTGCAGGTATGGAACGTTGGAAGAACATTGGCTTGGCTCAATGTGATAGATTGATATCGGTCGGCATTTGACTGTCCCCTTAATTATTGAGGTTTTCCAGTTTTCCCTCATTCATGCACTGAATGGTGCTTATCAACTTATCCCTGAGCCGCACATGCCGCTTACTAAATAATATACAGCCCCCTCTCCCACAAGTCTCCGACTTCTGGGCTAATCCTTGCGATTAGAATGAGAGGTAGAGATATTATTATTTTTACTTTTATTATTATATTTAGCATATCCAAAAGTTTACTTGTACCAAATTTCAGTGAAATACATTGTTTCTTGAAAAAGATAAGGGCCAATTACTTTTAAAAAATCGTCTGTGACACCCCGAGTATGAAAAACAAAAGACATTAGATCCACTGACCATAGGGAAACATTGTTTTATTTTTCCATGGTCTACGGGTTCCCGAATTCCTTATTTTATACTTTTTTCACAAATCTTTCGATATGAAAATATTGACACATTCTAAATGCATAGATTTTAATGTTGCATCTATTATTGCAGATAGTTTGATGGTGAATGATCTCATTTTAATGAATTAATTTTATTTGCAGTGAAAATCACTTCAGTCGTCACGATTTTTTTACTTAACTGACTTTTTTTAAGGTTTCCTACTTAAGTTAAATGAAACACCAAGTGAATCTACATTCACCGTTTTATAGTACTTAATGTTTATATAGCAAAAGCACTCGTAGTTTGATCGCACTTAATTATAAAGCAGTATTAATAATATTATAGGTAGAATCGGTCCCACACACAGAGTTGTCATTTATATTTCTTGTTACAAAACCTGAAAACCTCCGTAGCGACGGCTAAAAAAATGATAGGGATGAGATGACCTTATAAAAAACACTGTGTCGAATATTATTGCACTAGTGTCTTATGTACGATTTAAAAAAAATTGATTTTGACATCCTTGGTATTTGCTAAAGGTTTTCATTGCTTTAGTAGTGCAACGGAAGGTTGTTGGAAATCTTGTAATATAATATGTGTTTTATGTATTGGAAAAGTGGTGGTGCCAACGTTTCTTAATTTTGTTCAGTATGTCGGTTTAATGCTTCGAGCGGAATTCTGTGCGATTAGAAGCATAATTTACTGTACAGTCTCTATTCTAGTCAATTACAATTATGCTTCTTATTGTCTTTAAATTATTGTTGATAGATATAAACTTTTTGTTGTGATTATTTTTAATCCGTAATAGTGTCGAATAAGAGTACTTTTTATTTGTATTTTATTAAATATAGAATTTATTTATTTCAATACGGTGCATTATTCTTTCCCGTTGGAGCAGAATTTTTGAAAATCCCATAACAATTATAATTCCAGTTTATAAAAGTGTAAAATTGCATTGATATATTTTCCAACTCTTTAATTAGGTACATCAGACAAAGAAAATAGGTTAAACAAATATAGGACTCCTATTTAAGTCTTAAGAAAATGGAGTATTTGTCGAGACATCATTAAGCAAAAAATTTAAAACTATAGCGCCACGAAATTTTTAGAATATTTTAGTCTATTGCAGTGACAACATGCGCGCGTCAGCATAATTGGTTCTACAAGCTCCACTCTCTTAGATTAGATCTGATGGGCATTGACCGCACTGATCCTTGGTCGCAGACACTAGACAGCGTATCTTCTAAAACTGTGGGCAATGCCAGTAATAACAAATCTACAGATCCTCTTCTCTTGTATATGTAATGGATTGTAAATTAAAATTATTTTTGCAAATTAAGTTTCTAGTTACCTATTGCAATTTTCTAGTGGTGTGAGTGAAAATATATAACAAATTGATATATATCAATTTTTGATACATATCAGCTATTATATATATGTTAATAGCTGATATATATCAATTTTCCCGCCATTTCATCAATAAAGCCAAATTTCAAACATAACCTTACATTTTAAAACTAAAACTTGTGGTGTGGTAGGCTTGAGTTGGACTGTAATAGCTCTTGGGTACCTGGCATATCTCCGACAAAAATGAATATAAAAATCTGAAATTTTAGGGGTGTACTATAGATGGGAAGTACTAAGAGCGCACGTAATTTCAAGTCACCCCTTCCACCCTAGGGGGTGAGGGGTGGTTTTTTTAGATGTACCCTACTCATTTTGCGAGTATCGGATTTTACGCGTAAAACTACCCCCGAAAGCGCGTTCTTGCCGAATTCGCACAAAAACCAAACCACCACCCTCGTATGGATTTTGTCATTTTTTTCGATGGCCATTTTTCTTGGGCACATCTCCGTCAAAAATAAATATAGAAATCTGAAATTTTAGGGGTGTACTATAAGTGGGGAGACCTAAGAACGAACCTGATTTCAACTCGCCCTTTCCACCCTAGTAGGTGCAGAGGGGGTGAGGGGTGGTCTTTTAGACGTACCCCCAAGAACGCGTTTCCGGGGGTAGTTTTACGCGTAGAATCCGAAAATCGCAAAATAAATAGGGTACCCCTTCACCCCACCCCCTAGGGTGGAAGGGGTGAGTTGAAATTTCGTGCGCTCTTAGGTCTCCTCATCTATAGTACACCCCTAAAATTTCAGATTTTTAAGTACTACTTTAAAGCAGTTTCTTTATTATCATGTTTTTGATAATTTTTATTTCAATTTTTATTTTTAATTTTTTTTAAGTACGTATTGTAATATACAAAGACTAAATTTTCTTGTTCTAGAAATTTCCCATTTTTTATTTCTGGGTTGATAAAACTAAATTGCTAATAAACAGCGTACTTACTTATAAACAGTCGGTAGTACGCAACAAAAATTAGAAGTCATTATGATAAAAAAAATAAAAAATTCCAATCTGAATATGAAAAAAAAAAAATAAAGATCAATTGATAACTTTTCTAAAAGTTCATATATATGACATGTATTTGGTGTCAAATTAATCAGCAAGGCATTAGCAATATAAAAAAACTAATTTGAGTATAGTTTTTTTTTAACAAAATTCATCTGATTTATATAATGATATATATTTTGATATATATACCCAAAACTAAATAGCATGCTATTTTACATCACTACAATTTTCTAATATAGTTTTAATTAGTATTTTAGAAGCATATATTACGAAAAATCTAAATTGTGACAAATCTTCTATTTTGGCAAAGAATATGATAGTTTCCTCCCATATCCTTCAATTATCGAATAGTCTCAATTCCTGCCTAGACTAGAAACTGATAATAGCTCTGTTCGCGGAGCCTGTCAAATTAGTACGGGATCAGTCAAAAGCAATCGTTTAACGACTTCTTTTATGCTATGCTTGCAGGAAATAGCACAGAAGTAGTGATGTGCAAAAAGTATCTATCCAATAGAAATGATCGGATACTTCGCTAAGTTTGAAGTATCCGATACTTTATTTATAAAAGCTTGGATACACCAGATACTTTTTTTTCAATTATCGGCTGAAAACTATAAACTGTAAATAGTGTGATTGTGAATGAGGTCCACCATTTAGTGAGTAGCGGTGGTAAAATGATCTTAAAATCCTTCAACTAACGTTACAGAAATCTTTAATCCTGCAAATTTGTAACTGTATGTAATCCGTAAGCTATGCAATATTTACTACTTGTGAGTGTTGTGGGTTGTGGGATTACCCGCGAATTACTGGTTATGCTATTTACCACATTTACAGAAGAAGCAAGCTATAATATTTTCACTTTCAATTAATGATGAGTTTGTCTTTGCAAAATAAGAAAAGTGCAGTGTGGTTGCATTTTAATTTAACTGAAACAAATAAAGCAAGATGTAATATTTGCAGCAAAGTGCTTTCTTACAAAGGATCTGCTATTTCAAATTTGCGAAAACATTTAAGAGTTAAACATCCAATTGTATGTAAAGAAGCTCTAGAGTCTGGGTCTGAAACAAGAAGATTATGCGATTCACATTATTCGGAAGGATCCGCAGATGAAGATAGTCAAATGTCTTCATCATCCTCATTGACTTCGGTAAGTTTGGTTGGGAATATTATAGATTGCAGATGAATAATTTTAATTGACTGGCATTTTCAGATTGTCGCATCGTCTTCCACATCATCTACTCTAATTGGACAGCAAGAAAATAATCCATCCACATCATCTGAAGATGGATTCACATCCAAAAAGAGAAAAACGCCAATAACACAAACAACATTAAATTATTATGCTAAAAGAAAATTACTGCCAGTACACCAACAAGCATTTTACAATAGTCTTATCTTAAATTTGATAATTAAAGACCTACAACCTTTTTCTATTGTAGAAGATGAAGGATTTAAAGAATTGATTGCGGGATTTGATTCATCATATAAATTACCCTGCAGAACAACTTTAAGTAGGACTCTTTTACCTGAAAAATACAACCTAGTATCAGAAAAAATCAAATTAAAACTAAAAGATGCTGTCGATATCACCCTAACAACTGATACATGGACCTCAATGGCCACAGAAAATTATATTTCACTTACTGCACATTTCATAGATAATAACTGGGAACTGCATTCAATTTTAGTACATTGTTTTAAATTTGGCGAGCGACACACCAGTGAAAACTTAAAAATAGAAATTATTAAAATATTAACAGAATGGGAAATTTTAGACAACGTCCACACAATAGTTACGGACAATGCACATAATATTACAAATGCAATAAGATTGACTGATTGGAATCATTTACCGTGCCTAGCACATACGGTAAATCTTATTGTACAGAGCGCCCTTAAGAAAATTGAAAATCTGCAAATAAAGGTAAAAAAAACTTGAGTATTTTCATAGAAGCACAGTGGCTGCTGAAAAGTTAAGATTATTTCAGGCCCAGATGAATGAAAATAGCAATACATTGAAATTAATAAATGATGTTCAGACTAGGTGGAATTCAACTTATGATATGTTTCAAAGGATTTCTACTATTCAAGAACCTGTAGAAGCGGCATTAGGAGTTCTTCATAATCCTATCGAACCAATATCCGCCGAAGAGTGGGGTATTTTAAAAGATATTTGTACGGTTCTCAAACCATTTAAGGAAATAACTGTTGAATTAAGTGCTGAAAAATAGTGACATCATCTAAAATTATACCGATGATACAAGGTTTAAAAACATGTTTAGAAAGAGTCACAACATTAGAATCGCCTATTGCCATTGATCTAAAAAATGCATTGTTAGATGGCATTAAGGCCAGATTTCCTAGATTTGAATATAATCGAATTTTAGCCCACTCAACATTCTTAGATCCCAGATTTGGAAAAAATGCGTTTTCTGACCCTTCAGCTTTGGAAAAAATCAGATCAATAATATCTACTGAAATTTCTGGGTTAATACAGTCAGATCGAACAACTAATGCAAATATACCTTCTCAAGATTGCAACGAAAGCTCGATATGGCAAGATTTTGACAGAAAAATATCAGCAGCAAAGACAACTCCTTTATCTGATAGTATTATAGAGTTGCGGCGGTACAGTGAGGAGCCCATCATGGAGAGACATGAAAATGTTCTTCAATGGTGGAAAAGCAGAAATTTGATTTATCCCCGACTAGCTCGACTTGCTAAAAAGTACCTAAGTGTAGTAGCAACATCCGTGCCAAGTGAAAGGGTTTTCTCAAAAACGGGATTAATTGTGTCAGAAAGAAGATCTCGCCTAACGGCAGAAAACGTTAAAAAAATTGTGTTTTTGAATGGAAACCAGAGTTTTCTAAAATAAATATTAAGATATATATAGTTAAGGTCATATTTTGTTATATACATAGTTCTACTCATTTCTGTTATTACGATTTATATGAAACCGAATTTATGTTTAATTTTTATATTATTTTTTTTGTTATCTCATTTGTTATTTTATCAGATTGAAATGTTATTTTTTATTTAAAAACAAACCAGAATTATATAGTTATTTTTTATTGTTTTTTTAAATATGCGGTAATATTTTACGATTATTTTTATTTGTTATTTTTCCCTGTGTTTGGTGTCATTACATATCCAAAGTATCCGATAAAAAGTATCTGATACTTTTACTCAAGTATCCATTCGATACCGATACTTGTTAGTATCCAAGTTGCACATCACTACACAGAAGTAGCTGGACGACTGCTTCTGACAGTTCTGACTGATCCCGGACTAATTTGACATTGACAGGCTCCGCGAACAGAGCTAACACAAAACATATAAAAGAAGAAGGCTTATTTATAAGGATAAATGATAGGCAACACGCAATTTCAGAACGACTGGTACGCCACCATGCAGGCGGGTGGCAAAGTTCATGGATTAATGGGTTGCATACTTCCACTATATAATTTAGTTTTATTTATTTAATTATAAAAAATACATTTGCTACATATTACTTATTACTGAAGCAAATGTATTTTTTATACTTCTTATAATAGGGATNCATAATTATATCCTAACTGGGTTGGTTGATCGATTATCCACTTCAGCCCCCACACGTTGGAATTTTATTTCTCGCATTGTATCTAAGTAGCTACTTTACACACTGACAGTATTCATTTTGACGTACTTGCAAAACACAATGACCTTCAAATTCCTTAAAATGTTTCACCTGCGACACTAAGCGGGGTGCTGCCGCCCCCCACACCTCCCGCAGCTCTTATGATGTACACCTCTTTTCAAAATGCACCCCTCCTATATTCAAACCCACGGGCCGCCTCTGGGCTGGTGCTCTTAAGGTGATACTTAAAATGGGTCACCCACAGACTAAATAATGTTTTCCAATATTTATTATTGAAAAATAAAATTAATATGAAGGTTGAACTTCAGATATGTTCGTATTTTTTAATTAAAAAAAATAAGTTGAAAATAAATCCACCTTGCACCTCAACTATTTAACATTTTTTACTTTATGAACTTGTGTAACAATACTAAATATATTTATGGAAATGCAATTATTTTGATACACAAAATTTATGAAAATATTACTTTCCTCAAAAAAATTAAAAAGGTTGTCCTGTTTGGGCGATAATCCTAAAACACACTGAGTGATAAATAATAATTAGCCTTCAATGTTATCTCAAGTATAAAAATTGTAATTTCATATCTGTATCTACAATATCCTGGCAATAATTTCAAATGTAAAATATGAAATCTTAAAATATCTGTAATAGAGTATTTTCAGTGTAAAATATTTGTTTTGATCCAGTTTTAAACAACAACATAATTGTTTTCTTTTTATTTATATTCTACATAGAAATTGAAATGAACGAAATATTAAAAAATTAATATAAATTCGTAACTACACAACACTTTTACTCTCCGAAATGGAAACGTCGCTGTCCACTTTATTTTTTATATGTTGCATAAGGTATGGTATTTTTTCAAAGTCATTTAAAGATTCCCATATTTCTAAATTTACTGGAAGCACACTATGCCCATCATGTTCTAATGTTTTTATTGCTAAAGTTGTGGTCCCCCTTAAAACTTTGGTATTTATAGTATATTGGATAGGTCGAAGCGCCAATATTAATAATCTAAAAAATAAAAATTTCAAATTTTTTATAATGTAATATTGTACATACTCACAGTTCGTTGTCTGCTTGAACTTCTATATCTTCTATAAACTTGACCCCTTCTTTATTATTGACAGCCATAGGATACCCCCCTTTTCTAAATAATATAGCATGATCTAAAAAATAGATTAAAATTTTATTGTAACACCAATAACACAAGAATGACAAAATTTTAAACTAGAAACCGGACTATAGTTTTCCAAACGTTTTTGATGCGAAATAATTTTTGAGCAGTTTGGGTTTTTAAAAACAAAATTTCTTTTATTTTTAAAAGTTCACAAAAGTACTGAGTGAATTAAAGCAGAAATATTCAATGATCTCAAAGGTATGAGTTACATATTACCCCCTGGACAATAACTGAATGAGCAACGAACTTGACCCATAAACTTGGCAGAACAAAGAAATTGCAAGGCTTGCAAGTCAGCATCTAATCACATCAAGTTTTCGAAATAATAAACTTGGCAGAACAAAGAAATTGCAAGGCTTGCAAGTCAGCATCTAATCACATCAAGTTTTCGAAATAATCTAATCTAAAAGTGCGTAAAACACGGTTTTTCGCTAGATTTAAGGTTATGTTACATCACAAGGTAATTTTGCTAAACAAGACTCGTTGTGCCATCTGAAACTACTCTTCTTCAAAATCTATCTTCGAATGTCAAGGTTTCCTCTCCAAGGAATCATTTATTGAAATTTATTAGCTTGGCGTATTTGTAGATAATCGGAAATTAGATAGCAACAGAAAGAAAAAAGAATCAACATAAAGATAACTAAATCCACTGGTTCCTTGAATTTCCAGGGTCGCTGATTACAAATCTGAGATAAATGTGCAAACAAACAAAATGTGTGCAATGTGAATTAAGTTAGGGATTTATAGTAGATGGTGTAACTAAGTACATCACATCGGATACTACTGCTGTAACTATATTCATGTCAAAGCTGTGTCATTAGGCCATACTTTGTATTATGTCATTTTACTGAAATGTAAACAACATATATTTTTCTCAGCTATGAAGATGTCGAATTTCGAGCCAACAAAACACCATTTACGAGAAGTTTTACTTCTCCTGTTTAAGTCAAAGAAAAGTGCAAAGTCATTGAGTGCTGTTGGAAACATATAGTGAACATATTCCATCAATAAAACCATGTGAATATTGGTTTCGAAGTTTTCGGAGTGGTGATTTCGATACAGTTGACAAGTAACGCCCTGGTCAACCGAAAAAGTTTGAAGATTAGAAGCATTACTCGACTAAGATTCATGTCAAACACAAGATGAACTTGCTGAGTCATTGAATGTTGATCGCACAACATTCTCCAAATGGACTCGTATGATTCAAAGACAAGGAAATTGGATGCCATAAAAAATGAAGCCAAGATATGTCAAACGGCGATTTTTCATGTGTGAACAATTGCTTCAACGGCAAACAAGTACTAGTAGTACACCCTGTATAACTATTCTTTCAACTAATATTTTTTTCAAAACACAACTTAAATGATGCAATTTACATACCTATTTGATGCCCTTTTTTAGAAATCAAATTGGTCATAACATATTGTTCACCCCCTAAGCCATTGTGCAAGCTGGCTTCTAATGGAAAATCTGAAATTTCTCTCATATTTTGAACAATATTTTCCGGTTCAAACTTGGATGGAAGTATATCCACAAATTCTGGTCTGTTTAATTTTATACTTTGCCATATTGCAAAATAATGTTCAAAATCAGACATGAAACCTGAAAAATATTAAACACATGATACACGGCTTATGGGAGAATGTAACAGTTCAAAATGGGGCAAGTAAATGAAACATGCATTAATGAAATGTTTCTTTTTCATCAAAGCCCAAACATTTTAGTACCCACATATGTTTTTGATATGAATTTAAAAAACATTATTCATTTTGTACCCTGGATGTTTGTACCCATATATGTTTAAAGCTGGACCAATGAAAATATTAACTTAACTTAATTTTGAAGAAATTGTTAAACTGGTTGAAAATCAAAAACAGTTTTTGAGATAAAAACGATTTTTATTTCAATACATGTCAAAGAACAAATTAATTTAGGGAGAGAATAATTCAAAATTTTAAAACAAATTGAAAGATGAAATTCTAAAACCAGTTACTTTATTGCTGAAGTATTTATATGCATATTTTATTGCAGCATAAATCGATTTTGCCTTTGATGCCATATTATCATTGTTTTGATTATCCAACACATATTATTAGGACAAAATTAATCTATTTCAGTCTGTAACGTAGGTAGTTTGGAATAGTTTGCATTTAAGTATTATTTACAATTATTGAAGATGTCACAACCACAGAATTTCTTTTTAGGCATATTAATATACATATTTCTAAGTATTAGGTTTATACAAATAATTAAATAAAACTGGTGGAAACAAACTGTGAAACTGAAGTTTTTTACTTTACATGTAATAATAACAAAAAAACAGTTTTATCTCGATAATGGTTAAGTTTTTTAACGTTCAAGTTAATATACTATTTTTAATCAAAATTAATCATATTTACTACACCAGTCAGGTGTAACTAGTGCCTCTACCAATGAAGACAAAATAAATACATTTAAAATCCCACCCTAAAAAACAACCACAGATATTTTCTATAGATAATAGCTGTTTTACATTGACAATTTATTGATCAATTAATTNTTACATATCCTGGACTGTGCATTACGATGGGCTTTATACATAATTTGTTCCCGATGGTTGAGATCTAATTTTTTAACACACATTTGATTCATTAGACATGTATTATCAGGTTTTAAAAGAAACTCAAATTTATCATTACTTAAACTTTTGCAATATGAATCATGGAGACTATCATGGCCGGCAATCTTAACCAGTGCGAAGGTCATTTAGCTAATTAGTTCTTTCCTCCACCTCCACCGGCGCTGTAATCGCAAAATATAGGGATTTTACTTTACAGTGTTGGCGCTCCTGAGACATTGGTATTGAAGTCGATAATATCAATCTATGATTATATCGATCGTCTCGTCCCGTCGTTTCCTCCAATCCTCCTGCCTCCATTGTGTCGTTTGCGTTTACGTTGTTTGTAGTGAGACGGGAATTTTTCGGGAATAAGGATTGATTTTTTTGGTTATATTTTGTACTTTATACATTTATATTGTATACGTATAATTGTATATATTGTATATTGATATCATTTAAAAATGGTAAATCAGTGTTGCGTAGAATCGTGCAAAAACACAAGTAAAGACTGTCCTATGCATCGATTTCCTCATTTAGATAAAGAGGTATGTAATTTTTTAAATTATTATTTAAAGAGATAAGAAAGATTTAAAGTATATAGTAGTATAAGGCATACAAGAAACATCTTTTTTGTAGGTTTACGAAATTTGGGTTTCTAGAATTAATAATCCAAGAATAAAATCTCTTCATCCCATTAAAGTGAATGCTCAGTATAGAGTATGTCAAAATCATTTTAGTCATTACTGCTTATTGCCACAAGAACATCGCACTAACAGACGGTTTTTGAAAGCACGAAGCTTACCAACTTTAAATTTACCTGGTAAGTTGTGTTTAATATTTACATATTTACATTTTGAGATTACGTTGAATATAGGTAATATGTGGACATGAAAACGTTTGCATCACAAGTAGTTATAGTTGTTATCTTTTTTTTTACTATTTTCAGATTTCAATGAAGAGAGCACATTAGAGAACTCTGTTTTAGCTTGGTCAGTTCAAACACAAACCACGAAAATTCCAGAGACAACCTTTGACAAAGGTTAGTATTATTGTTATTATTTTGTTATAGTAAATAAGTATTATAATAAGAATAAGTTATAGTTAAGTAAAGGTCAAGGTGTATAATGGAAAAAGTTTTCGTATAACTTAATAGTACTTTTTTTGTTTATATTGTATTAATGTCAAGCCATTAAAATATTCTAAATAATATCATAGGATATTCATTGTATTTTCAGATATTGATAATAAATCTGAATCAGCTGCAAGTACCAGTTTAAATATAGAAGAAACTGAAAGAACTGCAATTATAGGAGTTCCTGATGAAAACATTAATGTTGCGTCTACAGCATCAGCGATTACAACACCCAAATCTCGTAAAGGTAGGCAGATTATCAAATCCTTGAGCTAATTTTTTTCATAATGTAAATTTTTTAGATTTAAGAAAGAAAATTAATTTATTAAAATGTGTTGATATCCGAAAGCGTGTTCAACTGACCCCAAAAGCAAGGAAGTTATATGACATTGCAAAAAATTTTAAGAGAATTGCGGTACAGTTAGATAAAGAGAACGTTTCTAACCGAAGACGTTTGGAAGAAGCACATAAGTTGATAGATACAGAAGATTTTATAAGAAGTACTGTTAATTCTGTAAGCTCTTCATTTATTTTGTCACAATTAAGGTTGCAAAAATTAAAACCGAAAGGTAGGAGATACTCCATGAAGGAAAAAATTTTTGCATTGACATTATATAAAAATGCTCCTCGAAATTATCGTTTGCTGCAGAAGATTTTTGCTCTTCCTAGCAAATATACTTTAACAAGATTATTATCCAGTGTTCCGTTCCAATGTGGAATAAATGAAGAAGTATTGCAGAGTTTAAAAAAATCTGTAATGAAATTGGATATTGAAGATAGATACTGTGCTCTACTTTTTGATGAAGTATCGTTATCGCCAAATTTAACTTACATACCACAATTTGACGAATTTGAAGGTTTTGAAGATGTGGGTAATGAAAGAAGACGAAAATTTGCTGACCATGCTACTGTGTTTATGGTCAAAGGAATTAGAAAACAGTGGAAGCAGCCATTATGTTTTTATTTTGTAGAAAGCAATATGAAAAAAGACGAGCTGGTGTCAAAAATAAAGGAGATAATTGGTCATTTAATAAGAATTGGTCTAAAGCCAGTAGCAACCGTATGTGATCAACACCATACAAATATGGCAGCATATAAGGAACTGAAGAGACAAACCAATGAAAAGTGCATCAAAAATAATATGGAAAACAAATATTTTGGATTTGTCGTGGAAGAGTCTGAAATTATTCCATTGTTTGATCCTCCCCACCTACTGAAGGGGCTTAGAAATAATTTGATGCGTTATAATATAAAATTTCGTTGGAAGCAGTCCAAGGACCAGATAGCCAATTGGCAAGACATCGTTAATTTATATGAAAATGATGACCCGACTCCAGATTTTAAAATGTGTGCTAAATTAACAGACAAACATGTGTATGAAGAGAAAATGAACAAAATGAAAGTTAATTTAGCTGCACAAGTTTTTAGCCAACAAGTCAGTGGATTAATGAGAAATTTGTCCAGATTAGGTAAAAATATTTTTGTAATAATTTATACAATTTTAAATACATGTTTATTCCAGGCTCAAATTTTAACTCTACCACTGCTGTTGATACTGCGGATTTTCTTCTATTTGGCGACACAATATTTGATAGTGTCAATGGAGATAGGCTGTCTTCTACAAAGAAATATAGGTGTGCTATTCATGATTCCAGCCCACATATTGACTTCTACAACGAGGCAATTGAGGTGCTGAAGAGCATGAAATGCATTTTGGGTAAAAAGGAGTTTCAGGTACCTACAATCATCAATTGGATAGAAACATTAAAGGGTTTTAAATATTTATGGAGGACGTTAAGTTCTGAATGGAAACAACTTGGTAAAAGTAAGAACATCAAAATAAATGTAAACGAACCAAGTATATTTCTTAATCCAAGAAGTTTCAATCAGGACCCTCTCGAAAATTTGTTTGGTTGTATCCGTAGCCATAGAATAAGAAATATTAATCCTACGTGTACGTCTTTTCGACAATCATTTACATCTTTATTAGTGAACAATTTTTTGTCTCGTCACTCTCCAGATTCTAATTGTGAATTAGATTATTGTGAAGGTGCTTTAGACACTCTGGAGACGTTAATTAATCCAAAACGAAGGATTGATTTTTCTTATACTGTGGAAACAAGTTTAGAAACTTTAGAACCCAATACCAGTTATTCCTATGTGGAGTCGTATATTGCAGGGTTTATAGCCAAAAAAATTATAAAATTAACGAAATCGTGTAATCTGTGTAAAAAACAATTACTTGGAGATAGAAATGATAATCCAGTATACAATTGGATTAAAATTAGAACGTATACCGGAAAGTCGTTAATGTTTCCAAGTACAAACTTTATGATTTTATTTAATAAATATATACACAATTTATCAATATATGCAGAAAAGTTTGCAGAAACATCAAATTTGAAATATTTATTAATATCTCTGTATAAAGCTACTGATTTTGAACTATTTACATGTGTGGAACATGATATATTTGGTTTTTTCAAAAATTATTTAACCAAATTTTATTTATTTATTTTTGCGAAAAATATAAATAAATCATTAAAAGGCTTTGATGAAAACAAGCCGAAAGATAAATACAAGCCTTTAAGACTTTTGGCATGTAGTAAATATAAAAAAAGGCGTAAATTTAAAAAATAAATTACCATGTTTCACTCCCAACCTATATAACTTCTCCAAACATTTCTTAAGTTTTGTAGTTCAGATAAATATTTTTTAAATAGGCTTGTTTGTGTACTATTTAAGGTATTAATTTATAACCTATCGCTATAAATATATAGCGATATATATGTATGTATATATATATCTATATATATTTTTTTAATAAATCTTTTTACTTTTTTTGTTTTTTTTTTTGTTTTTTTTTTTTGTTTATTAAGTAGGGACATTAAAGGTGTTTTCAGAAGCTATTATCTGAGATCGAAAGGGTCACTAACAGGTATTTTTGAATTTTACGGAAGTGTAAGTATGTACCTGATTTCTAGGAACTGGTTCTGAAATCACAGCATAAGGCCCAGATATACAATTTAGAATTTATGAGAATCAAATTTTATTAATATATACATTTTCAAACAGTATAATATAAAACGATTCATCAAGTAGTCGTACTGTTTTTCTAGAATCCTACTGATCGAATTAATGATACCTAGTTATCAAAACGTACTAGAATGTATCAAATCACTTTCTAAGAGGCCTTATCGGCACATTTAGGGTCTTTTTATGAACTGTTAGTTAAGGTCTAATGTAAGATTAAAAGATTGGGCACACTATACCTGCGTGGGCACATATGGATCAGCACAGCGTGGACTTGCAACATGCACGACTTTGCACACTTGTCCAGTACTAACCAGCAACTTTTACTGGGTACAGATTCCTTATATGGCAGACATTGCAGGTCATAATTGTACCCTGACCAACACGACCAGCTCTGATGGTCGTTGCTGGTGATGGTACGTGCCGATGCTGGTCTGATGGGCACCTTCTCATTCTTTAAGTGTTAGTAGTAAGAGGCAATGATTTTTTCTTAAAATAAAAGTTAAACAAGAATGATTTAGAAATTTGTATTAAATATTATGATGTATCAATCTACAAAATATCCGCATGAAAAGTAACAGTTAACCAGCCATTGATAAATCGCTTCTTAATATTTTTACTTAAGAACCATTTATTTCTTGAAACGATAAACTGAAATCAAGTTTCAATTATAAATAGTTATATCAAGTTTCTATATAAATCACATAATTATGTAGTAATACCTTCCAGCAATTTTATAAGAAATAATCAAATTTAGATAAATGTTACCTATTTCGCACCTTTATATAGTTCTATTTTCAAATTTGGTTCATCATTTATGAAAAAATAAGGGTTAACAAAGTTTTCAGACAGTAAGTATAAATTATTTTTATAAGTTCTTTAAGTTGAACATTATTAAAATGCTTTAAATTAGTGTTTTGAGTGCCAGAAATTTAGTTAACTAGTTGAATAATATAATAATAGTGCTTGTAAAATTTCAGGTAGTAGGTTATTAATATTATTCGATAAGTTAACTGAATTTCAAATGGAACTCAAAATACTAATTCCTTTATACATCACTATTAATTTGAAAATACCGCGTTTCTAACTTAATTCCTTCCTCCACCTGCAACGGCGCTGGTGTGCATAGAAAATGAAAAATATTGTAGATTGCAGCATCTATAACTCTTTTATCTATGGAGACTATACTATCTAGTCTCCATGAATATGAATGATCACTGATAGTTGAGGTCTCCGCTGCGATTATATTTTGTTCAATAGAATTTTCGACTTCCACAGGGTTTACCAATAAATTCATATGTGAATGATTTTCAATTTCACTAATATCTGAATGATTTTCAATCAGAGCTAATGTACTCCAATCAGCAACCATTTTGGGGCAAAATTCATACATATCATATAACATAAGGCATTCTTGAAACATAATCATTTCATTTTAAATGTGGGTCATCTGTAGTCAAATACGGCGTTTAAATCCCCGAGTTAAAAGTTATCGCGAACGAACGTAGCAAATAAATGATTCCATCAAATGAACTCAAACATAAACACCGATAGGAGGGATTTTACATTTTAAAGTTGGTAATTTTTTGGACCTTCTTTCTGTCACAAATTGTGTGGTTAATGCCGACTGTTTGTGATTTTTGATATCAAAATCCTATAAAATAGGACTCATCGTTCAAGAATAATACATAAAATTCATCAAAAGCTGTATATAGAACCATGGCGGATAAAGTTAGTGATATATTTTTAATTACTTCGTTATTTATAATTGTTTACAATTGTGTGAAAATTTAACAATGTCTTGTAATTTTCTAGGCTGAAGAACAAGTTAAAAAGAAGAGGACTTTTAAAAAGTTTACGTTCAGAGGGGTTGATTTGGATCAACTTTTAGATATGCCAAAGTAAGAATCAAACAACTTTTAAAATGTTCTTGTTTCTTACGTGCAAGTGTTCTAATTATTAAATTCTTCTAGTGAGCAGCTCATGGAACTGATGCACTGTAGAGCGAGAAGGCGCTTCACACGCGGTCTTAAACGTAAACCAATGGCACTGGTAAAGAAACTCCGCAAAGCTAAAAAGGAAGCTCCACCTCTAGAAAAGCCAGAAATCGTCAAGACTCATTTGCGTAACATGATCATCGTTCCCGAAATGGTTGGTTCTATTGTCGGTGTTTACAACGGTAAAGCTTTCACGCAGGTTGAAATTAAACCTGAAATGATTGGACATTACCTCGGTGAATTCTCTCTTACCTACAAACCCGTTAAGCATGGTAGGCCTGGTATTGGTGCCACTCACAGTTCTCGTTTCATTCCTCTCAAATAGATCATATTTTTATGTTATAGATTAATTAACAATAAATTTATTTGAGAGATTTTTGCTATTTGAATTGTTTTACTCTTTGTCTCAATATTTTAAGGGCATGTGGATAAAAAATAAACTTTTTGTATAGATAAGAAACATTTTGAAGGTAGACCTCATGCAAGTCCCTGATATCTTCAGATTTTAAATTTAGAGAAAAAGTGATACTTGTCAGCATAGAACTTTTTTTTTATAAATAAAACCAGTAAGTCCTTATTAATTTTATTCATAAAAAATAAAAACGTTTAAAAACGATAAATACACATGCATATCTACATTTGCTATTCAAGATTATTTATTTTGCAGTGGTGAAGTTCCGTCGTTTATAATTCCTCTTTTCCTTGGCTGCGATATATTCTTTCCTGCTTGTGCTAGACCTCAGTTCCAGTATTAACTTAATTTTCTGTACGATGTCTTGCGCAGTGCCGCTGTCGCTTTCAAAATCATAGTTTTTAAAGCTCGTCGAGCTATTTAAGGTAGGCGGAAAGCTAGACGCTAAAAAATGAACATTAAATATTTCATTTCAATAACTAAGTCGATAAAAGAATCAGCTAACATTATTATAGAGTGGTTGGATATATTTTTATCAAATTTTATGTAAAAGTATCACATAATATAATTCTTATACACAGGACGTTTACAATCTTAGTAATTCTAATTTAATGCTTAATGTGTTATATTAAATCATGACGCAGAAGTGAAAACAAAAAATAGATAAACATTACTTAAGAACTGTTGGAGTCGAAAGAAAATGACTAGTGCTTGGTGCACGGCAAATTATCTTCTGTAGCTGCAGCATTTTGTCTACATTCACCGGATATAGCAAATTAAGCAGTTTGTGACTGCTAATTATGTATCATTGCGGTAAAATACTAGTCTAATAAAAATAACACCCAATTACTTTATTTTTACCCGCACCAGACTAATAGTGAATAATGGAAATCTTACATGAAACTGAAAAAAGTAACCGGCCTTGTACAATACTCACAGTTTCCAGAAAGTGCTGTATCCCCATTATAACTTGCACCGAAATTCGAGTTATACACTATCTTAAAAGTACTTCGACTGCTCTTAATATCCGTTATCTGGCACCAAGCTATGGTGTCCATGTGATGGCTAACCGCCTTCTGTTTAAACGGCATCAGTTTCGAGCTTTTTTGCTGGACGGGATCTATCTCTACCCTTTCACCGCTAATACCCAGATTAACCTCCACTTTCGGCCTCACCTTATTGACCATAAACACCCTGTATGACTGGTATAAAGGCGCTTCCATGCGTTTGTTATGCTCATCCATGGCCAACATATCGTTCTTCTGGCGGTTCTCGTCAGCTTTGGATTTTTCAGAAATCGTTCTCGCCCTGCCAAGCTTATCTTCGGGGACCAAATTTTGACCCTCTTCTGGAAAACTAACCGACTTTAAATTTTCTTTGTGTTCGACGAGACCTAAGCAAGTAAAACCGAATTTCGCGACACTCTCTTTGGGATCTAAACAAGGGAAGTCTCCGTCAACTTCTCCATCTTCTTCACATATGTATAGACCATAGTTGGTTACTGGCTTCAGTACGATATTAGAGTCTCCATGGTTAGTGCTGAAGTTAAAAATATGTATTGTCTATAATTATTTATTTGTGACATTTTCGATAACTTTTTTTATTTGATTGGGTATTTCTGCCACGCTAAGAGAAAATTTTAAATAAACTAGCCTTTGTATCAAAAGGATCAAATAAAGGGTTGATTTTATAATTTTAGTTTTGTTTAACCAGAAACACCTCATTCTGAGAAAGTAGATAATTCTCACGGCTATACAATAACCACTAAAAAACATTACCGAGTTTACGTCTCCTAAAAGTTTCTGCTTTCGCTATCAAATCTTTTGGTTTAATAATGAAAACAAACTGACAAAGCCAAAGGTAACAGTTTTTTTGTTTCGCTTATCTAAATTCCGGAGATTTAAGATATCATATAATATTTATTCTACCATTACTTTGCTCGTAGTTAAGAATATTCAACCAACAACAATTAAAATTTAAGGAATTGTTTAAAACGCAAATAAGCACGGACTCTTAGTTTACTTTTTATCGTATTACTTTCTTTTCCTAAAATTTTGTAATGTTTACTACATTCGCCAATTATATTGTAAATACGGTCTTTAGAGTTTTATACCTCATTCTGTGATTGATTTTTTGAAAAAATTGTTCCGACAAATCTTGAACGCATGGTACAGTTTACTTCATGTATGTTAATTTTAAAAATCATTTTGTAATTTCAATGTTTTCAAAAGTTTTATCAACAAATGTTTCTGAATATTGATTATATTAACTAATCACATATTTTTTACGAATTCCGTTTGACGACGAATACAGGCCTACATCCAGGTACAGAGACGACACTTTGAACACATCCTTTAACTACGAGTAAGTACACTGTACAGTCGTTATAACATGTAAAATACTAACTTCATTAAAAACACTTCTACCAATGTTTCTAATAATTTTTCTTAATGTTATATAGGTATCTTTTCCTAACTAGGTTAACAATTACACACAATCAAGTCAGTGATGGTTGGTAACCACAAATTCAAAATTATTTCGCATATGGCTCGTTTGCGGACTCCTTTATTAAGATCTCTTTGCTTCTAGTATCATGTACTTACAGCTGATTGGTATCCTTTTCAAATAAAAAGAGTAATCTATACAACAAATATGAAAGGTATGTCACATTTTCTTACCTGAATTTTAAAAGTATCAGTCCAATCAGATCTTGAATCTTAGCCGTGGCTACACAACAAATATTTATAGGGTAATTCCTTTGCTGCTGGGGTAACATGGTCAGATATATCTTATATTTTCTTGTGGGTATATTAACCTGTCCGCAACCGTCGAACTTCGAGTAACTTATATAGGGATTCATAGGCAAATGAGAAAAGTTTTCCATTAGGACAGATAACATGGATTTCTGCTTCGGCTTTTTAGCCAATGCGGATACATCTTTTTTTACGAATAAGTCATCTATATCTGGAGACTCCTTGCTAGTTTCCCACTTTATATGTTTCATTTTTGCAGCCTTTTTTCTCGCTAAATCAAGCTTTTCTAACTGTGCCGCTGTGTTGGACCTCTCTCGTATACCAAAATCCATGTCCATTTGTAGGTCGTACGATTCAAAATCGTCTTCATCGTCCTCACTATCTTCAGGTTCGGGATAGGATTCTATGTTGGCGAAGTGTTGTTTTACCTCTTTGTTTTCATTTACCATAATCAACTCACACATACCTAGTTACATATATAAGTAAACGGTTGATGCATAATTTATATAAATACCTGTGTCATCCGTAGATATAAAAGAGTTCCTTATATGAGATAAAAGCCAAAACTTGTTGTCATACAACGCCATTAGAATTTCTTATTTCTCGCCACAATACAAACAAATCTGTAAATTTGAACTGGTGACTACTCTAAATTTCCCACAAATCAGTCCAAATTCAACAATTTTTGTTAGTAAACATGAGAGAAAAAGGAAAAAGGAAAGGATAGGCCCTTGTAAATACAGAAACGAGAATGTAAATATCACAAATCAGCTGATACGAGAAACATAACCTCAATCAAAATGTTTGTATAGAAAGTTGATAAGAAAAAAAAGAAAAAGTCATAATACAAATACATAAAAGTGCAGAATATATTGTTAGTTTATTTTCTAGAGACGCTACTAATAATGGATAATCAGTCGTTTTGGTGGGGCACCGATGTTGAAGATTTTTGGTTCAGAGGATTCACCGTAAAATCTCAGCAAGGATTAATAGGATTATGCTTCTTGGTTGGATTTATGGCATTTCTATTCGAATACCTCAGATATTTGCAAACCAAGCAGAAGCAGAAGGAATTGATTTTAAGAGCTAAGCAGATAAAACTACTGTGTTCAACTGAAAGTGCGGCACTGCTTGCTCAAACCGTCACCAATACCAGAAATCCCTTAAATATCACTTTATGTGACAGGTAGATTTATGAATTGAAGTTTTTTTATGATTTAGTATTATTTGCGGTATTTTTAGAGCCTTTCTTTTTGGAATGGAGGTTTCCCTGTGGTTATTTGTACAGAATTTAGGATATTTTTTAATGTTAGGCGTTATGGTTTTCAACGGATGGTTTTTAGTCTCTGCTGTGATTGGAGGTGGTGTAGGTTATTTTATTTTTGGACAAATGTTTATGAAAATTAATATACAGAATTGTCACATTATGAGGGAGGCATACTGTACACAGATCTGTGGAGAAATAGGCAAGTATGAAAAGAAACGTAATATACTAGTGTTACTTTTCTAACATTTTTAGCAGCAAACTCGTCCAGAAATAGCCAAAATACTCAGAAATATGATTTAGTGTAATTTATTCCTATGTAAGTACCTTTCCCATTTCCCTTTGACCCTATTCCATTCATTGTAAAACAAAAATAATGGGTAATATTTCCTCATTTGTAATTTTTCTTCTAAATTTTACACAATAATACATAATTAAAACAATCTCTTAAGGATGTATGATTTTTTTTAGATGGTGAAAATGGTTACAGGGAAGGGCAATCAACTCCGACTCGAAACAGCCCTTCAACGTCACAAAATATCATTGACTGTCATAACAGAGACGTACCGCATTCTGTAACCAACGTTACTGTGCAATGCCACACTTGACATTCCAAGGAAAGTATAATATTTTAATATATTCGCATATATTTTACGATGTATTTTTAATTGCAAATTCGTACATATCGAAATACTTATTTTTATTCATTAGCTGTTTATTATGTTCCATTTTCTATTGTTAATTTTGGATGTGCCAATTTTAATATAAATTTTAAAGACAGCATTCACCTGTAAGTGCCTGTATAGTTCCTAAAAAATATTATAGACATATATTTTACGTTATTGACTATTTTGAATATGTTAAATTGTTAAATAGTTTTAAGGTGTTCCATATTTTTCTACAATTGTTGTAATGGGTATACTTTCATGTTTAAATATTTATGGTCTAGTCATTGTGGTTTTATCAAATCAAAATAAATAAACTTTATTTGACCTTACAAGTTGATTTCATTCTTATATATTTATTTATGCAGTGTAGATAAAAGAGGGAAACACATTTTTACCACAATTTTATATAGTTTGATAGCGTATAACCGATGGTTTAGGGCATGGCATATATATAATACTACTATATTGATAACGTCAATCCCCAGCTGGTAATAGAAGTGAAGCCGAATTAAAGTGAGAGGAGAATATTAAGGGGACTTGTACGATATGCACATGCGCTAATTTCGAACGGAAAAGCGGGCCATGATCTATAAATATAATGCAAATTTCAAATAGAAGACATAAGCATAACCCACAAAATAATATACGAGTTCGAGTGCATATATTACTACAATTAAAATATGAAAAACAAGAATATTCAACAGGATGACTCAATTAAAACTTCCCAGGTAGATTACAAAGGAACTGAAAAAGATAGTGATATTCTGGAAAAGCCAGTTCTACGACGCTCACAATATTTTTTTGTTGACGGGAATTCTGGCGATGCGATATTTAGAAAGATTGTTGGTTTCTAAACCTTTTTGTAGAACACAATTTTTCGTTTAGACCAACAATTCTAGAGATAGAGAATTGCATTTCTGAGTAATTCTAATAAATGTATATACTTTTTTAATTTCAAAGCGAAAATTCTAAGTGTTTTGTAGAGAACATTGTGCTTCATTTAAAGAAAAATCTTTTAATCATATTTTAAAATTGCATTATAATAATTCACTTTCAGTTACCTGGGCATAAGGGTTTCCGTTTTTATTTTAGGCAATGAGGATACGTGTAAATACCATACTGTTAGATCGTTGTCTTGTCTTTAATAATAAATAATATCTCTCCAGAATCATGATTCATTAATTTTTATTGAAAATAAAAATATAAATACACCAATAAAAACAAGTTTAATTTTTATTCAATTTAGGTATTATTACATTATACATGAAAGTCAACATTACATATAATACATACATACAACATTACATATAATATAAATACAAATCTAATACAAAGTATACTACTGATTTTTAAATAAAATTAGTTTATTATATTTATTTCTTATGTATTCATCCTTTTGTGACTTAATATTTGCTTCATAATACAGCCGAATATTAACATATATTTCAATAATGAATTTTATTAATTGTATACGGTGATTATCTAATGGATCTTGATTTAGAATATGGTCATGCATGTCTTTTGAAGAAAATACCGAATAACCAATTTTCCTGAATGTGTTTTGAATTAAAACGTTTTTTATATTTTTTAATTGAAAAATTTTATAAATATGTTCTCTGAAAGTGGTTTCAGAAAACCTGCAAATGTTAATTATGTCGTCCGATGGAACAATGAAAGACCCCCGATTTTTAATTTTTATTAATAAGGGAATTTCACCCCCGTCTTTTACTAAACATTTTTGGCAAAAGTGACAAATATTACTATTTATTATTTTGTTCGCAATGAAGCCAGTGATGTAACTTGCAATATTCTCTACATAAGGGGATAATTCCCAAATTGTTATAATATAATCATGATCAGCGATGTTGCCCACAATGTCTTCGTAATCACAAACTGGTTCAGTTAATTTAGCCCTTTTTGAACTTACATTTAAAATTTCTATGTTATCAGGAATACAATTGCCTCTTTCTGCTGAAATTTCATGTTTTACTAATAAACGCTTATATGCGCTTTCGAATTGAACGGCATTTGGGTTATTATTGAAACCTCCCCGACTTCTTATAGCACCAAAGTAAGTCTCTAGAAAATCTTGGGATAATTTATATGTTAATAGATACGGAAAATCCATTTTCTTGGTTTCAACGTAATCATACAATTTAAATACATTTTGAAGACATATTATAAGTCCCAAGAAACCAGTCTTCCTTGGGCCATCTAAAATTGGTTTGCCTAAATTATCATATAAATTAGAAATATAGTTTTCAAAGATATTTGCCTGCTGATTTAAACCTTCGTAATTTTCTTTACACAAAGGTTTTCCAAATTTTTTTTTTTAAAATTTATTTTTACAATTTAGAAAATCAAATATATTATTAAAAATTAAACAAAAATTGGCTGTTGCCATACAATCTTTGAATTTAGATAATTTTAGATGATTGCAAAATGTAAGTGCACTGCTTACACTTTGGCTTAATGTTTGGGTGGCCAGTTTGACATTCATTCTATTGTCATTAAAATTTATATGTTTTTTTGTTAATTTAGTACCTGCATGAAGGCCTTCAGTACACTGAAGTTCATACAAATTAACTATGTATGACCAATTTATTTCGTCTGACCCATGATATAATTTCTTTTTATCCCCTAAAGTATTACGGACTAACTTAATCATGTGGCAATAGTCCCAAAAAATAAATATTTTTTCAGAAGTAACTTGATTATTGAACCATGGCTGAAAATTCTTACTCGTGTAATTAAAGTTAGCCCCTAAATGAATGCACATCGATAAGTTAACAGGTGCGCCATCAAATGTAATTGAATAAATTCTTGCCCCCGTATTATTCATTAATTCAAAACACAAGTTTAATAAATTTGCACGCTCTTCACCACCGAGACCATCAATTAAAAAGTAGCCCAAAGGTATCTTCCAATGATCATTTAACGACACGGCCATGATCACTAAAGCATTTTTTGCCTCGGGTAAATTATCTTGTTCTCTTTCCACACCAGTACCCATATTTATGTGACCATAAAAAATTCCGCCCTTGAAAATTATCTGTTTTCTTATAGACATTTCGTCTAATACAAGATTACACAGTACAGGCTTCACTTTATTTCTCATTTCAATTACTCGAAAAGATTCTTTTGTAAATCCTGGCTTACCATCTATGACACTATACCATTTACGAATAGTGGTTGGGTGAGGTAGCCAATTTTTCCAAATTTTTCTAACATAATTGTACGCTTTAGCTGAGTAAAACTGTAAAGTTAGTGCAAACGTTCTTAGCACGGGAGAATACTGTTTTTTTTTTTTAGAATGATGAGAAAACATTTCTTTCATAGTTTCAGGTAACTCGGCCTGAAAATAAAAAATTGACTGTAATAATAATAATAATAAGAAGAATAATAGTAATAATAATAAACCTAAAGTATCAAAATGACTACAAAATAACTTAGTTTTGTATTGGTACCAAAATTTGTAATATTTTTTTGTTTATTTTAGACATAAACATGTATTCAATTCAAAACTCAATTCAATTGTTAGACATAAATATGTTTTCTGTTCTGTAACTCATCTATTTACCATTACTAAACTGGCTTCTTCAGAAATTAAAGCTTTGTTACGTAAATGCTTAACTAAATCCTGAAGTGACTTTACACGTTTTGTTAGTCTTCTGTTTCTCTGATTAATTATTCTATTTTTTTTTCTTTGCCTTTCTACTTCGTCCAAGGCAAATAACAGTTTTCGTTTCGCTCTTCTTGGTGTAGAAACATCGGGAGATTTTTTCTTAGAATGTTTTGGTGTAGTCATAACACCCATTGCATCATCTGTAGAAGTTGTTATTTCCTGGATTAATGAATTAGGTGATCCAGAGATACCTATGAAAATAAATACAACATTACTTTAAAATATATATGGCGGCAAGAATTCAGACGACTTACGTCATACGAACAAATTAATAATTACTTACTTCAAAATATTTAAGAAACTACTAATTGAGAATAATAAAACTATATATGTTTACATTATAATATGTTACACTAAATTACAAAAAATGATTTTTTTTAATGCGACAAACTATCGAAAATTATGTTGACAATAAAAACGATTGCGCTACGCCACCCCTTTAATAATAAATAATATCT